ATTTCAGTAAATCTGCCTGTTCTGCTCCCCACTCTGTCTCTGATGAATCCTCTCACCACCTGCACCTCTGGCCTATACCCCAGTTCTTGAATGCATAAATAAATAAATCTTTTTTAAAAAAAAGAATTAGAAGAGAAACTTTGATTAAGATTTTAAATGCATTGAAATTAGGCACTCAAGACCCAAGCACCCTTAATATGAGCAAGAACAGACTTGAAGCAATTTGCCTTAAAAGAGCCTTATTTAATAGTCACTCAGACAACAGCCAAGTCAGCAGAGTCAATTAAGTGGCCTCTATGAGGAATTCTCCAGACTCCTAGCCATAAAAAGACAATAGCTTACATTAGGCAGTATTTACTGGGGGCCTTCTACTTTACATGTATTATTCTAGTTAATCCTCACAGTGGCTGTGTGCAGTAGGAAATTATCCCTGTTCTGTGGGTGAGATAGCAGAGGCTAAAAGAGGTTAGTAATTTGCCAGAATCATGTAGTTAATAAGTACCAGAGTTTATACATTAAGGGAAAAAACAGTGCCTAAGAACTACTTAGGACTAATTCCCAAGTCTTATTGTTAAGAGTTATCTTGTCATACTATCTTAGAATGTCTTGAAGATCCTAGCTGTGCAAATTAACTAGTCTGCCCTGACCATGAGAATACAAGCCATGGGCTCCCCGGATCTCTGTTTTTAAGGACTGTACACTCAATCTAGGTGTCTTAGGCCACTGTTGGAATACTTTCAACCCACTCAATGTTTGCTTTAGTTGGCACAAAAGATCTTCCTACTCTGTTCTCCTCCCAAGTATTTTAAACTCTTTCCACAATTGTCAGACAAACATTTTTTTAAATGTTTCTTAGAGGGGAAAATAGTAACCATCAATATAAGAATAAGTACTAGGGATATTTTGAGTACTTTCATGTCCTTCCTGCCGTTTTCAAAGTTCCTGCAGTTTTTGGCTCTTCATTTATTTCCTCTTTAAGTCTACTAGATGCATCTGACTTTTTTGCAAAATGAATTAATGAAACATATCCACTGGGTCTGAGGTGGTATCTTCTCCATCCATATGAATGAATTGCTTAAAATTCATAATTTGCATGAGGAAGCAATTAGATGTGTAGACCTCTGGGGCATAATGGGCTTCTTCAGGATCTTGTGGGGTTGTTTTGTTTTTTTTTTCTTCTTCTGTAAGCTCTGTTCTCACTTCTTCCCTTGGAAGCTGTGCACAGTTGCAGTGCCTGGCCTGTACTGCACAGAAGCATGCATGATTACTGGTTATCATCTGTGAGGGTCCCATATTCTCACTCAGGAATTCTTCATGTCCACAGAACTGTCGGTGAACAGAATGGGCAAGAAAGACTTTCCACCATTTTGAATGAAGTGTCTGGGCTTCTTCCTTTCATCCCCACTTTATAAATACAATGGTCTTCACTTCCAGGCTGACTGATAACTTGTTTTTCCCTTCATAAAAGTTTCATTTGGCTCTACAGCTTCCTTGCATAAATCTAGATAATTCTCCAAAGCACCCCTAGCTAGGAGCAATGCTCCAAATATGTTAACAACAGGGCATACTCTGCCCCTGGACTAGAAGGGTCCTGGAGGACTCTGCCTCCTAAGGATCAGATCTAGTTATTTCCCAGGGGTTGAAGGGGAGGAGGTTGCTCAGAGCTCAGGGCAGTGGCCTCTTAAGTCTGAATAGTTTGCAAGAAAGGAGCCTGTCTTAGTGCCTTCCTGGCCTTCAGCTTTGTGCCCAATAACCAACATACAGGACCAACTTGCTTTAAATAGAATTCACTACTGCTAGTAAACATGCATGAAACTCCTTTTTCTTCCAAAAATACTTGAATCAACTGGCCTTGTTTTTGCTTGATACTGCTGGTCAAATATGGGATGCAGACCCCCATGCTTATTGCTGCCTTATTTACAATTGGTAAGACATGGAAACAGCCCAAATGCCCAAAAGTGGATGACTGGATTAAAAAGATGTGGTACATATAAACAATGGAATATTACTCAGCAACAAAAAAAAAAAACCACATGTCTTTTGCAACAACTTGGATGGAGCTGGAAAAGATCATGCTTAGTGAAATAAGCCATAAAGAAAAGGTAAAATACCTGATGGTTTCTCTCATAGCAGGAATATAACAGAACAGGAGAGAAAATAATGATAATGATGAACAGCTATACACCAGAGACATTTTATGGGGTGGAGCGGCGAATGGAATCAAAAACAGCGAGGGGGAGGGAATGCACTGGACTGTGGTGATGGCACATGGGTGATTTGGTGATGGAAGCCCAAGGGGATTGCAACTGAGATAGAAAAATGCACAAAATGATGTAAAAATAAACTGTTATATTATTCAAATATATATATATATGGGGTGCAAAGACTGGGAAAGTTGATTTCTCTCCCAACAACACTGAAAAGATGAGACAGCAAAAGGGGAGTAGCAACAGTTAGTCAGTTAGTCATTCCATATACCTTTTAAATTACAATGTAAACCCATGTAGAGAAATTTTTTAACTGGTTATTCTAAGGATGATTTAAAAAAATAATAAAAGTATTAACTATCCCAGTCCTTCCAATAACATATAGTTAGTGATGGCTCACTATTAACATATTTGTTTATTTCTTTCCAATCCCTTCCCTATACACATAATTTTTTTAAAGATTTACTTATTTATGCATACAAGAACTGAGATACAAGGGTCAGAAGATTCACCACAGAAAGAGTAGTGACCAGATTAGGCAGATTGACCAGAATACACTGCTGAGGGGAGCAGCGGGCAGGTCAGAAGAGGTCTGCCACACCGTGTGGGTCACCTCCCTGACTGGGGATCAAACTCATGCTGCAGGGGCTGCGATAGCTTCACAGTGCTGTGTTTTAATCCGTTGCACCAACCAGGGAGGGCCCATAATAATTTTTTTAAACAAAGATTTCTCTTTTTTTCTCCAAAGATTAATTTATTTATGCATACAAAACAGTGGTACAGGCCAGAGATGCAGGTGCAGTGAGGATTCACTAGAGACAGAGTGGAGAGCAGAACAGGCAGATTGACAAGTACCCTGCTAAGGGGAGCCGTGGGCAAGACAGAAGTCTGCCATGCCATGTGGGTCGCCTCCCTGTCTGGGATTCAAACTCATGCTGAAGTGGCTGCTGCCAGCTTCATAGTGCTGTGCCTAACCAATTGCACCACCAGGGAGGGCCCTACACATAATTATTTTTAATATGGTTGAAGCCCATTAACTATTTGGTTTTGTGTGTTCCCTTGTCATAGCATCTTTATGCTTCAGTTAAAGATTTTTTTCATAAAGATCTTACAGACTAAAGTTTGGGTAAAGAATTAAAAGTTCCTTCAAATCCTAGTTCATGAGTATTTACAAGTGAAACTCCCAACCTAAATCCAGAATAATATGTCAGCAGAGTAGTGACATATGTACAGTTGTGTTTCGTTCTAACTACAAATTATAAAGGACATGTAAAAATCTGAGGCTATTGGGAGCCTGACACTCAGCCCTATGTAGAAGAGCCTGTTACAGAAGTTGAGTGGAATCCCAATGCCCACATAGTGGAAAGCCCAGAGCCCAATATAAACCTGTCTTCCCCTGTCTGTTACTTTACACCAATACCAGAACATCCATCCTCACTCACCAAGACATTTGTACAGTGGGCTAGACTGTTAATAGATTGCTGAAATCAGGGATACTTGACACATTTTTTACACGTCAAACTGATGCATACATGCCTTTTTTAGGTTGACATTTGTGGTTGTTTATGAACAGTGACACTGTGGGTATTTAAGATACAAATCTATAGGGGTAATCATCCAGTACTCTGGGATTATGGAAACTGAGAATACAAATGAAATCAATTATGTTTTCCCCAAAATTCGGCTTTTTTTTTTTTTTTTAAAGAAAGTTAACATTAAGGCTTTTGGAAATTCCAAATTTATGGCAAATAAACACTGAATGTAACACCCCCCCCAAAAAAAATGAAAAGAGTAATTATTTAAGAAAATACTTTTCTTGGCAAGAACAAATTTCCTAATGTATTTCTATCATTCATATTCTTCAAGGGAGTGTTGGTGTTTTTGATTTATGTTACAATGTAATCTCACCTAAAAGCAAAGTGAAGAAAATTCAGTGGTAATACTTTAAAGCTGGGACTTAACTTAAATATTTTTATTACCTTTATTGTGACAGAAACAATAAGAAAATAGCTAAAGTAGATTGTGGCAGTAGTTTGCATATATTAGGTATGAATCAAACTACTAAGATCTTTAAAGGCATAATTAGTTAGTAAACTAAAAGGACTCTAACATACATCTTAAGATGTAGTACAGTTTTTGTGCAATAGTATAAAAATGGCAGGCTCTATATTGGGTTTACAGCTGTTTCTTTTTATTGTCAATATTCAATTCTATGAGAAGGTCTCAAAAAAAAAGTACTATAGCTGTTAAACGTAAACATTAATAACCAAATCAGTGGCGCTTCCCCAGAGGAGGAGAATTATGTGTCCAGGTATATTTGTGTTGAAAAGCAGGTCTACATTGTATGAAATCCCTGCTTTATTGACAAGTAGGAATGAAGTTGTCCTTAGAAATGAGGATTACATTATTGATTAAAGAAATGAAGCATTATTTTCCAATACTTTAATTTTTAAAAGCATCACTGGATGCTAATATTACACTGGAATCAAAAACCTAGCTCTTTTGTAAGTTGTCCATTGATAGTTATTGTTGACCCAGATTCATCTTAGAATAAGTTTGACTTGAAAGTTTTTGTGAATTGTGCTGAGCCTAAAAATTCTCTCCAGGCCATAGCATCTGTTTCTGTATTTACAAACTGAAATAACTACGGATGTCAAATGAAAAAAAGATTCTATTTTCTTGAGAAAGTAAATTTTTTTTTAGAAGTTTACATCAAAAATCTTTTTAGATTTTAAAGCTGTTTTCTTGCCATAGGGTAGCTGATGTGTAATTCTTACCGTTTTTTACCCCCAGTGCCCTGCCAGACTGTTTTAGATTATTTGAAGACAGTGCTGCAGCACCACAACCAACTCTTGATCCCACAGCCAGCTGACCAGCCCACCGAGGTAGGTATTTAGCCAAAAGATCAGTGGGACTCCATTTGGAATTTCCTTAAGATGAAGCACCTGCCAAAACAAGTTGAGTAGCAAGTACAATTTTGAGTATATGTGCTGTGAAGGAAAAGCATGCAAGGGGCTGATTCACAAAGATTAGCTCTGTGCTCAAGTGGGGAGGGATGGAATCTCATTTAAATTATGTGGGAAATTCTTCCACCAATTCACAGATGACCCCAAAATGGAAGATATCGACCTGCCATTTCTGGGCAGAGCCAGTATTCCTGAGTACCCCATCACCAGGCCTCATGCTAAGTGAGACGCAAGTGTTTGGGTGCCTTCCAGACATTAGAGCCCCTTTCCTCTATGGAGGAAACCACAGTGTCTTCCAAGTAAAGGCCTATTCAGTGGTATTGGTGTATCTGTTAAAACATGGTGTTTTTTCAGGATTTGCAGAGTTCAATCTGCAGGTGTTATTTTTAACTGACGGATTTTAGAACCTCAGGCGAGTGGAACACGACCCTACACTGTACCTACTGGGCATAAATGTCTTAGATTGATAACTGTAGATAATTAAGCAGTTAAATTTTCTTCATCTGTCAAGTTGTTGGTGCTGGTACTAGTAGGATGTTGGCCTGTTGACATTCCTTGTGTCTACTTAAAAAGCTTAAAATTCCATGCCAGCACTTACCATTCAGTAGATCCAACTGTACTTATGTTGTCCTTGTTTCTGGCTGCTGGAGAAATGCAAGCAGTTTCCAGTTTTCTGCACATAGTTGAGGATAAAAATGTAGTCAATTTAGTGCAGAATAAAACTCCTGCATACCGGTGTACCTTGTGTCTCAGCTGCTCCTTCTCCCTGTAGTTTAGAAATGCTGTTTCACAGGTTTGCTCTTCCCTCCAGCCCTCAGCCTATTCCTAGTGCCACCACCCACCCTCTTGAATTGAGCAAAAAAAAATGAGAGGAAGACATCAAATCCGCTGAATCCCAGCACACTGATTATTACCTTCTTGCATATCCCGCACCCCAAAAGCAGCACTGCACCTCTCCTTTAGTCGTGTTTGTTCTGTGATCTAGTTCTGCCTCCCCCTTCTAGGACTCTGCCATCACTACTGCCACCACTTACTCCTTATCTCCTGCAGTAGAGACCTCTTCCTTGCTCTTGGAGCAGACCTTTGAGTATCAAACACACTTGCGTCTTCCCACCCTAAAGATAAATTTTCCTTTGATTCTTCATTCCTCCCCTTAATTTTTTTTTTTAAGATTTATTTATTCATGCATACAGAGCTGGGGCACAGGCCAGAGGTGCAGGAGTGGTGAGAGGCTTCACCAGAGACAGAGTGGGGAACAGAACAGGCTGACTGAAGGTACACTACTGAGGGGAGCAGCGGGCGGATCAGGAGAGGTCTGCCGTGCCATGTGGATCACCTCTGGGGCTGAGGATCAAACTCGTGCCTGCTGAAGTGGCTTCAGCTACTTAGTGCTGCGCAAACAGGGAGGGCCGCCTCCCTTAATTCTTGTCCTTCCTTTTGCCTTCCATCACCCATCCTCTGTCAGCACTTTTCTTCTCCACCATGACACATCTCACTCTGAGGGTTAGGCCCTAGTCTCAACCCTGTCAGCACCCCAGAAGGCACTTGCTGAATGGTGACCTCATTTTTTTAGTGTTTTTGCTTAAACATTTGAAAATCTATATTCATTATTTTCACTCTTAACTTCCCATTTGTGTTTCCACTCCTTATACTCTGATTCTGCCTCCACTGCTTATCTAAAATATAGATCTGAAGTAACTGTCACATGCTTAAAGCCCTTTGACTCCTAGACTAAAGTCCATATTTCTTTCCTTGACAATTCTATTATACGAAAAGCCTACTGCCTACAAGAAGCCCTCCCTGGTTGGAACACCCCTGTGTGGTCACATTGCACATGCTTTATATGATAATTCAAAATTTGCTTATTAGTTAATCTACACCTCTGCCTTCCATTCATTGTGAGTCTATGAAAACCTTATTATTCATCTTGGTTTTTTTCAAAATAACTCAGTTAAAGGTCAGAGTTAACAAATCTATTAGTGACTAACCAAAAAGAACATAGAATTGTATAAAAACATAGAAAAGTAAAATAAAACAAAAAAAAAATCCTCTGGATAAGATGACTTAAACTTTCTTTAGCCTTCATTATCATCATTACTATTTTTGTCATTTCATATAAACTTTTCACTGTAGTAGTATTTAACACATTTCTATAACCATGCTAAAACAATATAACAAATCTCATCCAAAGTACATAAGAGCATTCTGAGTTGTGTTTGGAGATATAAATTATTTTCTATTTTTTCCTTTTTCTTGAAGAAAATTACTTTAAATGGTATTTCCACATCTTATATAGAACTGCTATAGTTTAAAAGAGCTAATGAGTTGTTCTATATGAATTCTTCAGGGCTTAGAAAATGTTCTTTACTTTCCTCAAGTACCTCCCATGGTTAAATAGCCTCAGCTCTGATTTTAGGGACATATCCTTAATTGGAACCAAGGTTCCCAGCTCTGCCTTAATGCCTTGATTGAACCTTGGGAAGCACTTATTCTCCTTTGCCAAACAGCTATGGGAATCTTGCCTTGCCTGCTGAACTTACACACCTGAGGGAAAGTTGTTTTAAAAACTTGGATCAAGATTTAATAAATAAAAGGCTTTAATAGTAGCTGCAGTTTCCTTTGCTGAGATTGACCAGTGTACTAATTGAGAGGATGGTTACAAATTAAGGACAGGAGACCTGCTCCCTAGACCACTTGTCTTGCTGTCTTTAGAGTTTTGTTGTTTTTTGTTTTTTTTTTTACTTTGTCAATTTATAGTCATTGAAAGCTCTTCAACGATCATAACAAACTGATCAAAAAAAAGATCAAGAAAAAGTAAGCATTCTTTGTAGCCACCATTGTCAGTGACTATGCTAGCCCACCAAAGTATTCACCACATTGGTCCCGTGACATGTGTTTATTGCAGCTGCTCTGTGTCGAGCACTAAAAAACATAAAAATACTAGTCCTTTGGGATTATCTTCAGGTGGGGAGATTAGAGGACTTTTCATTACAAATTTGCAGGCTGGGACTTTGCCTGTTTTATCTTACTAAAGTTTAGAGAAGTGACTTGCCTAGATCCTACCCAGAGCTCAGTTTTGTGTGGGACCATAAGGCCAGGGGCCTAGTGAGGTGAGCCTTGGATTGCTCTTCATCACTCATTAAATGATGACCGTTTTTTAGTAAGGTTCTTCTACAAAAATACTTGGAACAATTCATGTATGGTCTGAGGCAGCCAGCTCTGGGTTCCCAATGTTCAAGACACCATCAATTGCCATGAGGATTGAGGGGTAGTTAATCCAAGCTCTGGTGACCCCTTTCCTCTCTCTGCCTGGAGGTGATGGATTCCTCTTCCTGTGTTCCTCTCCGCACCTCTTCTTTGTGAAAGAAACCACCATTTCTGGGCCATTTTGACTCCTCCATCTCCCACAGTCTGGTTCACTGAAAGGGCTGCCTTCCTCCCTGGAGCCTCTCAGGCACTGCCTTCTGTAGTACACAAAACTCAAGGTTGGTTTATGTTTGCAAGTACTCACATCTCAAACTCATGAGAAAAGTTCTTCCCATTTCACAGAGGGGAGACTTTGGTCCAAAAATTTGAAGCAGTTTGTTCAAGGAATGCTTCAGATATGACCTAAAGCTGAGCTTGAATTCAGAGCCTGTAACTGAGTCACATACTGCCAGCTCCAGGATGTGGGCGCCTGAGGTGATGGTGCAGGTGTGTGACTCAGTGGCTGTTTCGGATAGGCAGGCTGCCTGCCTCTGTCCTTGACACCTCTGCCATTTTCCCTTTTCAGTGTTTCACTGAACAAACCATTTTTTAAAATAAAACCCTATCAGACCCAAACAGTGCAAATTTATAACCTGTAGTAAATTTGCAGAGTTGTAAAACTGAATGAGTTTTCCTGTCTTTATTTTGTACACCTTAATTACTGGGAAAGGAGTACATTAAAACTGAGATCATGGGTTAATTAATTTGTCCTGGACTGTAGAATTTTATGGACACCAAAACTAAAGTAATGGTTGTATAGGTGCAATTGACTAAACATGGCTTATAAATGTTGCAGAAATTCCCATAATTAGTCCCTCTGCAGCTGTTTAGCTTGGGAATTTTATAGTAGACATAAATTATGAAGGTGAAAAGTAAGAAAAATTTTGAGTTGACATAGTGACATTTGTGGAAGCTATAATTTGAGGAAACCTGTTTTGCATTATCACTAACAATTATTTCTTTCAGTTGCCACAATTCCCTCTTTAGTTTGTTTTTAATGTTGATTTCACAGTAATATGTTGGCTATCAGGTGTTAGTGCATTAGTTACCAGTACCACCTTCTGAAAATAGGCCACCAGCGTCATTTTGAAAGTACTTAACTGCCAACCAGAGGATGAAGAGACCTATTTGATCACACTCTTCAAAGTCATTTTTGCATATTTTAATAGATTGAAAAGGAAAGTTACAGGTTATATTTAAATAGTGTTCCTTGTCATTGGATCTTGACACATTTTAACCTACCTGTTAAAATGCAAGTTATAAATAGCTCCTCTTTCAAAGGTGTTCATTATACCTCATTGGCTCTTGTTATAGAAAATGCAAATGTAATTTGAAAAGTGCCCGTTCTGAGTGTGAGCAATTACTTGTGCTCTTCAATACCTGGTTCATTGTCAGCATAGCCACTTGGTTAAAAGGCATGTTTGCCTTTGAAATGGAGATGACCTCAACTTCTGGAAGGCTAAGCAGGTAATGAGAAAAATATTTCTCTTTTCCAGGGAAGCAAGCAGCTGTTGAACAACTATCCTGTCTACATAACAAGCAAACAGTGGGACGAGGCTGTAAATTCTTCAAAGAAAGATGGGAGAAGACTCCTCCGATACCTCATCAGATTTGTTTTCACAACCGATGAGCTTAAGTACTCATGCGGCCTTGGGAAAAGGAAAAGGTCAGTGCAGTCAGGAGAGACAGGTCCTGAAAGACGCCCTCTGGATCCAGTTAAAGTAACATGCCTCCGAGGTACTGCATCCTTCCGCTCAGTGTCGCCATCTGTGATCTCATTTCACCGCATTGGCTGTGGCTCCCTCGTGCAAGTGTTCAGCCTTTACTGTATTTGGTTTTCCCCCCGCTAAGACCTTATAGGCTTCATGTGGCCCATCTACTCGGGTCAAGAATTCCTTAAAGATTATTTGTTTGCTTTAGCCTTGGTGTTCTCACTTAATGGCACATAAAGCATTGTGCAACACCTCATGTTTCACGCTTTAAATTCAGATTTTTCTTTGCCGCCAAAGAAGGCCATCTTCAGCAGAACTGGAGTAATGCAAAATGCACAGAGGAAGATGTGGAACTTAAAAAAAATTACCAAAATGATATACATCCCATTTCCATTTGCAGCCTTTAGACCAGCCCCCTCATCTAGATGCCTTCTTAAGGGTACTTACCCCCATTCCTGAAGTCTAGTGTAAACAGCATACTTTGTCCTGTTAGCTAAAAAAAGTTTCTGATGTTAAAATATTGTTTAAGTAATGCTGGTTTATCAGTATTACTTTGCAGGTGATCTGCACAGTTGGTCAGCCAGGTAGAGTGAAGAATTAAGAGGTACTAGTTGATTCAGTAAACTCAGCAGACTTAGTCTGGTAGAAGTACAATAGTACCATCAAAAACACTATTCACACCTAAAAAGTCTTTATCAGAAAGCTCTGTATTAACCTGTGTGTCTCAATCACAAGTCTGTTGGTTGGAAAGACAAAACTGAATTATACTAAACAGTGATTAAATTATTTCCTGGTGAGGGTTTCACAATGAAAACAATCATTGATAAGACTCTGGTAATCCAAAGACCCTCGTCCCACACTCCCTTCTGGGATTCCCACAGTAATTTTACCAGGTTAGTGTGCCAAAGATGCAGCTTGTTAGCACCTGAGAGTCCCCAGATCTACCCTAGCTTCTGATTCAGGATGTGTGAGGGAGCTAGGGACTGCTGCTCCCCACAGTCCCCAAGTGGTGCAGGTGCACCATACTTGATAAAATCACTTGGAATTAAGTAGGCACAGGTACTGCAGGGCCCCTATTGGCCTGTCTGAAAATTGTACTTAGAGTGATCCAGAAGTGGAAATTTTCAGGTCTTAGCAAGCTAGCCATAGTTTACTTTATTCCCCAACAGCATCAGAGCTGATACGGTTGCTTTTAGTAATAACTACGTCAGCACCTAGAGTAGTAGTGAGCTTGGGAGTTTTCCAAAAATACTTTATGTGCACTTGAGTGGGTTGTCATTAGACTTACAGCCGCGTCAAAATTAAGGGCCTCACAGCTGCATCCCTTTCCAGGAACTCTTAGTAAATATTTTACATTTTAAATAGCAATTCAGTGAAACTGAGGCATTAAACATAAATCCCAAAGCACCTTACTGCTGCCCTCAGAATGCTGCATGCCCACTGTAACAAATGCAGTCCAGGCTGCCTAACCAGAATATGCATTCTCATGCCTCACTTGGGGATGAGACAAGCTTCTGCCCAACCTTTAGGAAAAGAAAACAGTAGGCAAGAAATGGTGATTATTTGTGTTGAGGGCAACTGATGACAACATCTTTAAGCCTGTCCCAAAGGCTAAAATTCTTCCTGTGACTTAAATGGAATTCCCTTCATAAAGGGTGAATGTCCTTGTGCTGAGCAAGATTAGAATGACAATGGAATGGAATGAAATCAAATTCCATACCATCCCTTTCCAAAAGGTGGTTTGATGTAAGCCAGAAGAGGTCCTGTGAAGGTGCTTGTCTGTGTAGTAGAATGAACTAACCTTAGCTTTCACTACGCTACTCGTCATCAGTGGATCCTGAAAGAGGGAGTAGAAGTTGTGGGAGGGCGGGGGTGGGTTGGATGATCACAGAGCAGCACATTCTTACAGGGCTACAGGGCTGCAGGGCTCTCATTCCTTAGCCAATACTTCTAGTGTGCATATGAGAGTACAGAGTCTAGGTAGAGATAAGAAAACTACTTAATGAATGCTTAAGACTTGTCAGATACTTAATGAGTACAGGGAAAACTTGAGGAAGACAATGAAGAAATAGAAAACAGAACCCTTCTGGAGCAGTAAGCTGTAGGTGATTTGAGGACAGTTGTGAAAAGCTGCAAACATTAGGAAAATACTAGGGGAAGGTTAAATACATGAGTTCTAGAGCTCCCAGAATCCTTTCTCTCTGCCATTCATCATAATGATCATGAACTAGGACTGAGAATCATCTTTCAGTGTTTCCCAGACCTGCACCCAGGGTTCCACAGTAATGCGTTGGTTATCAGGTGTTGGTGCATTAGACACCAGTACCACCAGGCCAGCACCCAGGATTCCTGGGAATTTGGCAGGGTAAGGAGGTGAATAAATACGGTTCCTTGAGTAGGGAAGGCAGTTAGGACTGAGACTCAGGTGAGATGAGTGAGACTGGAACCTCTGACACAAAATTGAGGATGATGCCAACAGACTCAGTAAGGCCTCTGCTGAGGTGGGCATAGATCAATCAGTTCATCAGATTTGTCTGGTGCCATTAACTTGAAAGCATCAACTTCTCCTCTGGGCAAATAGGGCTAGTATTTCACTAAGAAATTTCAGACAAAGCCAGTTTAACAATCAGAACTATTGTCTTAAAGAATGAGCAATATTGGAGAGAAATTATGTAAACAATAAGCCACTTTGAATATTTTAATAAGCTGTGCAAGAAAAAGGTTTTGACTTAAATTTTTTTCAAAATATCCTTCAATTTAGAAGTGCTCAAATTATTAAAATAGCTCCGTAGGAATTTTGTATATGCTCTGCCTGACCTCTTGAGAAAAACGGGGAAGGGTTAATTTGAACTCAACCCAAGACAGGTCAGATTTGTTCCATGGGAGTCTTAACTAATTATATTTATATTCACTCTTGTAGTAATGCTAACTATGTTCTGATAAAATTAAATATTCAGGGGAAACCTGATTCAAAAAGCATTTTTTCAGTACATGTATAGATTTCATGATTAGGAAACTATGTAGAGCTTATATTGCAATATTTTAAGAATATAGAAATGTAGGAACTAAAACTAAAGCAGTTTCTCAGTTCATTGAGATTTGTGTCTTACTGCACTTAACCTACAGCGTAGTAGCTGGTTAAGGAATACCATGGCAATGATTGCTGTGTTTCTGGAGATAGCATTCTAAAAATATGGGTTTTAAAATGTACTCAGTTACTTTTTTTAAGCCTGCTGTGTCCTACCTATTATAACTTAAATATGCCTTTCATTTCAGCAGTAAATGTTCCTTAGACCAACACTCACTTAACATGAACTTTACTTTTGCACATGAGTAGAAAATTAGTATGGAATCCACTGGGTTTGACAAGTGGCATCATCATGGCATTGCATTGGATTTCCCATAAAGCTCTTTTTATAGAATTTATTAAAGTTTAAGCAGCCTGACTTGTCATCTTCTACAAAATCCAGCTGTTTTTCCTCTTCTTTTGTTTTTTATTTTGTATATCTTCCCACAGAATTCATTAGGATGCACTGTACCTCCAACCCTGACTGGTGGATGCCTTCAGAGGAACAAATAAACAAAGTGTTCAGCGATGCTGTGGGTCACGCCCGGCAGGGGCGGGCAGTGGGGACGTTCCTGCACAACGGAGGTTCGTTTTATGAAGGCATCGATCACCAGGCTTCCCAGGATGAAGTCTTCAATAAAAATTCCCAGGATGGGTCTGGGGATTAGTGGACAAAATCTTTCCATTGTAGCAGCGGGTCTCAAGGGTTCCATTTGTGAATGTCCATCATCCCAGAGTCCAAAAGCATGCCATTCTTTCAGACTTTACATATCTTAAACCTACTGCCATAGTTCCCAAATAGAAATCCATTTTAGGGTTTTGGGGGAAGTCTATGGAGACTACAAAAGACCTTTCATAGTTGTATAAAAGAAAAAAAACACAAATTGATTATTACATTGATGGTGAGGATGAAAAAACATTGTTTCTGGTCACCTCCCTGAAATTTTCAAGTGAGCACTGTTTCCTGAGCAGAGCTAGGCCCCACGGAATTTGACTTAGTGTTCCTGCCCCAGGGAGATGTAGAAACATAGGATTATTTTAGGGGACAAGGAGTAAGCATTCTGTTACTCCAAGTAAGTTGTCATTTTGTCTTCCAAAAACTTGAATTCATACTTCTGAGCAAAACATAAAGGTGACATTTATATATTGTCTCTGCATTGACCAAGCCTGTTATTATAGGGAAACCAGAGAACAGGCCACTTTTACAGACAATTTCAATTATTTCAAAATAATTGAAAGTCAGTTATTTTTACAGAAAAATTTCCTTGTGTTCAAGAAGGCACAGAGTGATCTCTGGAGTTTACAAACACTGGTAGTTTTCATTATGCCATTCTAGAAACATCCAAAGATCCAAAACTGTTTCTCAAAGCTTGATTTTGTAGAGTCATAGATCCACAGTTCCATAGCCTTAAATCAGGCTTTGTAAGACACAAAACCAAAGTGATGGGTTGAACAATGAGAATTACAATCAATTAGTTACTTGGTACATCAAAGACCAAACAAGTGGGTTGACTGATGGTATTCACTGAATTGACCAGATGTTCTGGAATTGTATACACAAGGCCATTCTGACTACTATGCAATGGGCTTGTCTGTAATTTCTCTGAAATTTAAGGGTCTTTCTTTACCGAGCTGATCTTTAGAATTTGCATAAAACTCAATGTTTCTGATTGTTATTGTTGAAAATGTTTTATCCCAACTGTTGTGTGCTTCTTGCTCCTAACAGTCCCCAGAAATACAAGTTCTGGTTATGTTAATACTGAACTACTCCCACCCGTTTTCCCCTATTTAATTTGTTGGGTTCCACATGTAAAATTAGTAGTGTCCAGGGAACAATTCCTTATCTGAGTATACTATAGAGACACTAGAGTCTGTTTCTGAGAGTGTCAGGTTTGGAGATGAAGAAAGCAACTTTCATCACTTTTTAGAGCAAAAGGATATACTGAAGGTTATCAGAAGCTATTTAATGTCATCTAACATGATTAAGGGTTAGAAATGGTTTTGAAGCTTACCAGTATCTATTTATAAAAAGGCTTTGGGGGGCCTTTTTGCCATTAACTTTTTTTTTTTTTTTTAGTCAAAATTATCCTTTACATTCAGTAAATTAGTTACACCAACTATATGCATAGCCATAGAAATATATACTTGACTCACTGTTGTACTGGCTTTCATCCACTAGTAAGTTTAGTGTTTATTGAGATGTCATCAGTCGGGTCTATTAAATGGTATAACAAGAGCTAATAGATCATCCTATTTGGAGACAGTTCAGTAAATCTGGGAGTAAAATAATGTTAAGGGCAATTGTGATGTCGCTTCTGGAAACCATGAGACTTAATATCTTTGACTGTCTAAGAAAGATAAGTATTACCTGAAGAGTTTTTGGAGATCTGAAAAGTCTGTCTTACAAGATTCTTTGGTGACATGAAATCTTGGCCAGAAGAAAAATGCCACTGTAACCTCACCTGTTTTTCCATCTTACTTTTCCTTTTTTACACTGGACTGTAGTTACCTTTACTGCTTTCAGTTGGTCTCACTTTGGAGACTTGAAGCTGTTACTGTCTTGATTTTCTACATCTTTGTCCATGGCACAGATTGCTCTCATGAAAAGAAACATAAGTCTTCTGTTTACACTCTTGAGTCATCTTACCATTTGATATAAAATAGGTCAGATTTAAACAGCTGTGTTCCCCTTTCCTGGGTGAGAGAAGGAGGTTGTAGTGCTGGACTAACACCAAAGACTAAACTGACAGTGACTAAGTGAGGTCTGTCATCCCAGCTACCAGAAGCACCCATGCCTAGCAACAGTGACACTGTTTCAAATTAAAGTCAATGATGTCACAAAAGCATACCTGCTTTCACAGTGAACTGGAGCTCCAAGCATAGTTCCACTGGGCTCAGTGGAACTGAGTAATCTGTTTGGGCGATACAGTGGAGAGGAACGGTACTCTGCAAGTTACTAAAGTCACATAGCTTCATTTACAAAAATGCATTGTTTGAATGTGTTATGGTTTAATAACCTTGGTGTTAAATTCCTTGGAGAAAAACTAAACACTCAAGTCTATGCCTCCCTTTTTACCTGAAAATACAAACAACTCTTTAAGTTTCCTCATTTCCATCAAGAGTTACTTTCACCATTCATGTTTTCATGTAGCAGATAGTATTAGAGCATCTGCCGAACATTGCTGTTTTCTCTCCTTTGTAGGGTAATTGAGAGATGCACAGTTACTTCATCCCTGTAGAGAAAAAGTGTTTTTGTGTTCTCTTTCTTAGCCCTTCATCTGTCTTCAACACTTTGGCCTAAAAGATTCATTCCTTCACCAAGATGAGAAGAGCTAGAAATTTTTACATGTTATTTAATCCTCCTGTATATGTCAGTATGATTGGGTGTTTAAGTCCAGTGACTTTCTTGTAATACAGGTTCTCTCCAAATCTACATAATAATTCAAACTTGGGATCTACAGATTCATAGTTGCTGCATTTTCCCACCACCTTTAATGGCTGTCCTCTCTCGCTGTCAGAAAGTGGGTGTGAGCATCATATCAAATCAGATGTGTGCTATTTTCAGAAAAGCAAACATACTGCCCTCATGTAGATGCTCTCATTCTGTATGTGCTATGGAGCCTAAAACTCATACCCACCAACTACCTCCTTAGTTTCTTGAATGTTAACTGTTAAAAGTTTCATTCCTGGACAACTTCATTTTTTTAGAAAAGATTTAAATATAACTTTTCTCATTCACTACTGTGTCATTTCACATTACAGATCTGTGTCAATTTTGACAGCTCTTAATATAAAAATTTTTAGAAATGCAATAGAAAATGATTTTGCACATATGGTGCATGTCTTGCTGGTGTATGTTTAGTGTGGCAATGCTTGCCAAAACTGCTTGGCAAAACATATCAAATAGAATGCTTGAGTCAGAAAGCTAATGTAAATGTGTCTAAACAGCAGTATGTATCATTACGGTATATTTTTGTAAACAGCGATGGCTTCTTTCAGTCATGTAAGTACTAGATAAAAATAACCACTTAGCTTGGAATAATGCAAGAACATGTTACCCAGCTAATGGCCCTCTGCAAAATTATTTGCATTGGTTTTTCTATTTGTGATTTTTTTTTTTAGAGGAAAGTGAAGAAAATATGGAGTATAAAAATAACCCATCAATACTGGCCTTCTGTTAAGTAAAACTCAAAACTGTGACTAACAGAGCTAGACCTTAGAGCTTCATAATATATTCAACTGAGTGAGAGAACTGAATTTCTCTCATCTGATGATCAGGTTAGTTAGTCTGGCTGTTGAGAGCACTAAATTCTCAAATCTGTGCAGTGACTAGGTTAGTTTTACATATAGCCATAATTGGCTAATGTAAAAGAACTAGGTTACCATTGAGTCACAACTCCTCCAAATTACCATGAGAATATATCTGTTAAAGACTTGTTTGAAAACCCATTCATTCTCAGAATAATACCCACAGTACCCATGACCAGATGGGTATTGGAAAACTTCAGCCCATCCAAAACCACTAAGGACGACAATAGTAATTTTGTAGCTAATAATCATTAAGTTCATGTATACCAGGTGTTTGCTAAGCACTTTAATATTTAAGACTCTGGTTTTAATCCCTCACAACCATCCTCTGAGACTATTACTGTTGTCCCCCCGTTTTGCTGACAAGGATGCTGCCCAAGGTACTTAGCCAATAAACAGGTTGCCTTGGGCATAATAAGCAGAACAACTAGTTCAGTTTTCCCCAGTAGTCAAAGCAAAGTTCTTGAAGCTCTTTGTTCATTGTTCATCATTATGCCATTGAAGGCAAGTTGATATTTGTGTTCACTAAAAACTACCTTTAAAGTAAGTTGATGCTTCAGTACGAGCATTTAAACCCTATTTTCTCTGGGAACTGCTAAGGTTTATGCATAAGGCTTATGTAAGATCCTATGATGAAGACTAGAAAAAAGTTTATCACTAGGGAATTAACACTACTAATTTGTTCACCTTTATTTCATAGGTTCCCGGTATAAAAATGCAGGGATATAAAGCAAAAGTTTGAACTCAGTGAAGTGGTATCTTTGGGAACTCTTAGGTGTTAGAAATGGCACTGGGCATCAGCCAATGTTCTGTTTGTTTTTCACATTTGTATTTGTAGTCCTAGAGCTTATGAATGTGGCTTGAAAGAGAATTTTAATTTATGAGGTCATTTGAGAAATGTTCTGAAGATTTGGAGAATCTTTGGTAGGAAAGTATAATAGTTTGTTGATTATTGTAGTTTTGACTTTAACATCTTTTGGCTGTGTTTAAGTTCAGAGGCATGCCAAGGCTCTGAGGGTCTAACTTTGTTTCTTGGAAACTAGGCAAGCCTGACCATGAGATGAGTCCTGACTCTCAAGGTCACTGGTCTAGGCCGACCCTGTCCAATTAAAGCATTGCCTTTTGTCTTCACTGGAACTTCATGTAGCAGCCTAACACTGGGGCCAATTTGCCTTTACTCTATTTTCTATGATGAACACTTGTGGAGAAACTGTGACAAATCCATTGATCCCAATATTTTTATTGTTGGAGTCTTGTTGATTCTCTATGATAATTTCTATTTGATTGTACTGTGTAGAATTAATACCCACTAGGGAGAGGTTAATAAAACTATAAATGCATAGTGTAATATAGACTAGCA